TCCCTCGATACGGATTAAAACCAATAATAATAATAATTATTATTATTTTTACAACAACAATGATAGGTTATTGAAGCGACTCAAGACCTGACATTACAATAAACACGCTAACGAAAACACAGTGGTACCTTGGTATACGCCCTTAATCGGTTCCAGATCATTGAATATATACGCACAGTATATGAACAATCTGCAAATCACCGCAGGCAGGATAGTTTTTCTCACTGACTCACTGTCAGCTATACAGGCCCTTGAGTCCAAACCTACCGACAGCACACTACAAAGTCTAACACATGAACTTGCTATGTTGTCAAATAAGGCAGAAATTCACTTGCAGTGGATTCCGTCACACTATGGCATCAAAGGCAATGAAAGCGCAGATGCTTTAGCCAAGGAAGGTAGTAACAAACCACAGACCTACCAGCCACTATCTTTTCCAGAAGTCAAAACTCTCATTAAGAGAAAATCAGAAACAGATTGGAAAACCAACACTGGTTATAACTACGAAAAAGATTTTCTGAAACACTTGAACAGAACAGACCAAGTCACAGTTTTTCGCTCACGCACTGGACACTGCAGACTCAATAAACACTCACATAAATTAGGTATGAGCCAAACAGCTCTCTGTCGGTGCCTTCGTGCTGAACAGACTCCAGAACATGTCCTGCAAGACTGTCCTCTCCTGGCGGAGCTGCGGAGCGACATATGGCAACACCCAGTAGAACTGACAACTAAGCTTTGGGGAAACCTAAGAGACCTTGAATAGACATCCCAGTTTATGACCCACAGTGGATTATGCGCATGACCAGAGATCGCTGAAGAAGAAGAATATATACGAAACATGACGTATACCTAACAGGACGTATACCAGACAAGACGTATACCAAACGAATTTTCACATAAGAAATAAAAAGGAAACGAATAACCCGTTCCCAAAAAAGGGGAAAAAAACCAAGATTGTTATTGCCATACAATACATTGACAAGGTTGCATAAAATAATTTAAACATTGCATTATATTAATATACAAAAACACAAAAGCAATCAGATGAAAAAAATGAAAATGTAACATTACTTTGCCTTGCCGAGAAGAGTGGAGCGCTTACTAGTAATAATAATAATAAGAACTCTAGAGGGGATCATGCACAGCAGGGGTCCACCGATCATCAGTAGAAAGATCCTTTGTCAACGATTGTTTCGGCCCATTACTTCCTATACAGTCTCGGAAGGTGGGCTGACCTGGGTCACGAGGCCAGGCCTCGATCTTCCCCTGCTGCACTTAATCGGACTCTTGGACAGGGTCAAGACGATATGGTGACTTTGCAACAGGTATTGTGAGATATGGTGCTTTATTTGTCGCTGCGGTAGCAAATTAGCCGCCTACCTTCACGGCCAGAGTAATTAGCTTACGGTTGGTTCATCGGACAAGTGTTAGGCTTTGGCATTTGGCTGAGGCACTGGCAGACACTTCTCGGGCACTTTGGCTTTGAGGGATAAGAAGCTCCTTTCCACTAGGAACTCGGACCAGTCTACCGAGGCCCACCCACCACGACGCTCCGTTGCGTCCAGAACCAACTCGAAGCCCTTTCTTTTGCTTCGCCAAGTTGTTTTAGTGACCGTTTAGTTTTTCTCACTGACTCACTGTCAGCTATACAGGCCCTTGAGTCCAAACCTACCGACAGCACACTACAAAGTCTAACACATGAACTTGCTATGTTGTCAAATAAGGCAGAAATTCACTTGCAGTGGATTCCGTCACACTATGGCATCAAAGGCAATGAAAGCGCAGATGCTTTAGCCAAGGAAGGTAGTAACAAACCACAGACCTACCAGCCACTATCTTTTCCAGAAGTCAAAACTCTCATTAAGAGAAAATCAGAAACAGATTGGAAAACCAACACTGGTTATAACTACGAAAAAGATTTTCTGAAACACTTGAACAGAACAGACCAAGTCACAGTTTTTTCGCTCACGCACTGGACACTGCAGACTCAATAAACACTCACATAAATTAGGTATGAGCCAAACAGCTCTCTGTCGGTGCCTTCGTGCTGAACAGACTCCAGAACATGTCCTGCAAGACTGTCCTCTCCTGGCGGAGCTGCGGAGCGACATATGGCAACACCCAGTAGAACTGACAACTAAGCTTTGGGGAAACCTAAGAGACCTTGAATAGACATCCCAGTTTATGACCCACAGTGGATTATGCGCATGACCAGAGATCGCTGAAGAAGAAGAATATATACGAAACATGACGTATACCTAACAGGACGTATACCAGACAAGACGTATACCAAACGAATTTTCACATAAGAAATAAAAAGGAAACGAATAACCCGTTCCCAAAAAAGGGAAAAAAACCAAGATTGTTATTGCCATACAATACATTGACAAGGTTGCATAAAATAATTTAAACATTGCATTATATTAATATACAAAAACACAAAAGCAATCAGATGAAAAAAATGAAAATGTAACATTACTTTGCCTTGCCGAGAAGAGTGGAGCGCTTACTAGTAATAATAATAATAAGAACTCTAGAGGGGATCATGCACAGCAGGGGTCCACCGATCATCAGTAGAAAGATCCTTTGTCAACGATTGTTTCGGCCCATTACTTCCTATACAGTCTCGGAAGGTGGGCTGACCTGGGTCACGAGGCCAGGCCTCGATCTTCCCCTGCTGCACTTAATCGGACTCTTGGACAGGGTCAAGACGATATGGTGACTTTGCAACAGGTATTGTGAGATATGGTGCTTTATTTGTCGCTGCGGTAGCAAATTAGCCGCCTACCTTCACGGCCAGAGTAATTAGCTTACGGTTGGTTCATCGGACAAGTGTTAGGCTTTGGCATTTGGCTGAGGCACTGGCAGACACTTCTCGGGCACTTTGGCTTTGAGGGATAAGAAGCTCCTTTCCACTAGGAACTCGGACCAGTCTACCGAGGCCCACCCACCACGACGCTCCGTTGCGTCCAGAACCAACTCGAAGCCCTTTCTTTTGCTTCGCCAAGTTGTTTTAGTGACCGTTTACGCTTGACCTCTTGCGCCAACCTCGACAGCGAAGATTTTAACCGCGTACGCTTCGTCTCTCCTCAGACCGGCCACGAGCTCATCGTACTTTTCGAACTTGTACTGGTGATTTTCTTCCATCCGCGACTTTTACGGCACGGTCAGCTCTATCAGGACGAGCTGGCGTTTTCCCGTTTTTCTATGTCTGGTCTCAGGCCGGTCTTCCGAATTTACTCAAAGTACTTTTCGAAACCAGACAGGTCGACAGTCAGTAACTAGCCCCTCGCACATCAGGTATCGATGGAGCGCATGCGACCTTGTTGATTTTACCTTTAGACATCTGCTCAGCCTTGAGGAAGCGCATGTGGGCAACAGGATGATTGACTCTCGAGGTTGGCCGTCATTCTGGCTTGGTCCACAATGTCCGCTAACTCTTTCAGGACGTTATTGTGGCGCCAAGTACATCGTCCCTGGCCTGGGGCTTACTAGAATTGTGCTGAGGAGAAAGAAAAGGGATATGTTATTGTTTAGAAGTATAACAAAACATAAAGAATCTTATATGCTGCTGCGTTTAAAAAAAATTTTTTTTTTTCTGTCTTGATTTCCCTTACTTGGACCTGGTTACGACTCACCATGTTAAAATTTTACCAAAAATCTGCCCAGAGAACTTCGCTTCTATCTTCTCATGATGTTTCGGAAATGTGACATTAGCTGGTAATTGCAAATAATGCTGTACTGTTATGGCCTGTTTTGGCTTTGTTTTTTTTTGGGGGGGGGGGGGGGGGGGGGGGGGGGGGGGGGGGGGGGGAGGGGGAGGGAGGGGGGAGGGAGGGTGGTACTTTTCTGCAAAGTTTTTGACATCCAACCATTTTTGGCAAACATTTCCTGGATTAATTAGAGAGGTAAATAAGGGTAGCGCGCGGTGTCGTGATTCATTTTGTGACCTACAAATTTTAACACTCAAGTCGTATTCTAAAGGTTGCATACTAAGCCACATTTTTTGGGCGTCTAAACTGGACATACACACAGCTGAACGTATACCAAGTTATCATGGCCTGCAGCATCACAGGAAAAAGTAGAAAACTATTATCAAACGAGGATCCCAGCAGACTACTCACAACGGCAGACCTAAACGTTGAAGTGATGTTATAAAGACAGAATTAGCTCACTTGAAAAGACAGAAGTGTACACAGAAAACAAAACGTGACAGTACGATAGCAGCAATTAGACCTCTCAAAATATGCGATACCGATCAGACATACCAAGGAACACAGGCCTTTGTTCATGTTATTTAGCCAGGCTGCATCGGTAAACTTATCTTGATTTTGTTTCGTGTCTGGGAGCAAGCAGACTGTAACGAGCTTAGACTGCACCTTTTCCTTCAAAACCAGGCAGAAATATGCAGCTGCAACCGAGAAAGAATATGTTTTAGTCGTACGTTCACTCACAATCCGGGCATCACAGATATGTGCTGTCTATTCAAAATAGCAGGGAAAATAAATGTTGATGAAAAGATGTCCAGGTTAAGCACCTATCATATCATTTACCTGATCACTGCAATGAATCGCGTCTGACTGATTCTCCTTGCAAACTAACCAGTGTTGAAACAACACACATAACTAACCAGTGTTGAAACAACACACATAACTAACCAGTGTTGAAACAACACACATAACTAACCAGTGTTGAAACAACACACATAACTAACCAGTGTTGAAACAACACACATAACTAACCAGTGTTGAAACAACACACATAACTAACCAGTGTTGAAACAACACACATAACTAACCAGTGTTGAAACAACACACATAACTAACCAGTGTTGAAACAACACACATAACTAACCAGTGTTGAAACAACACACATAACTAACCAGTGTTGAAACAACAAACATACCTTTACTCTGCTTTCTTAGTTTAAAATAAAAAAATTTAAAAAATAAACCTAAGACAAGGTGCAACTCTGGGAAATAACTGACGACATATTAGTAATGGATCGGTTCATTGTTGCGATATTTTGTTGGTTTGTTTAGGTAATCAATTTAACTGTTGAGTAGTTGATGGTTTTTGAATTATGTGGGGGATAAAAAAAAATATTTTTTTTTTCCTTCGCACTCACCAGCTGCAAACTCTGGGAGAAAGTTCAAAATGTTCGTCCACTTGTGGAATGCTGCCTTGTTCCTTGAGTTATGCGTGCACATGCATTTTACAGATCTGTTTTTTGTTGTTGTTGCAGAAGCACTCCGACTTATAAAAATGTAATAAATAAGCATCCTTAATTATTCACCCTATTTGACACGCCTGTTAGGAAAAAAAGGGGAGGGAGAGAAGGACTGGGGGAGTAGTGGATCTATGCCTCCCCCCACCTGCAAAAAAAAAAAAAAAGGCCTGGGATCCCGCACGAGAAAAAAATTAGAGTAAAAAATAGTTATATGTAATAAATTATGGGTTTGCTTTTTAAAATAGTATTGTTAAGTGGCTGCGGCGTCTGTGGCTTAGGCGTTGCGAGTCAGACTCGTAATTCCAACGTACCGCGATCGAAACCCACTGCTGGTTGCGTGGATTTTTTTCAAGGTATGGAACGTCACAGGTCGACCCAGCCTAAAATGGGTACCAGGATGTATGTCCCGGGGAAGCAAAGACGGCCGGTGTAATGCTGACCACATTACTGACTAGTGCCGATTGGTCTGCAATAATATGGGTGCTCTTCCCATATGCCTGATTCGCCTAAAGGCGTTAAAAGGGATCTTTACTACTTTTACTTATTGTTAAGTGGCTACTTTTATTTTAGGAGTTTTGCACACACGCACACACACGGACACACCCACACACACACTCGAGCGGATGCACGCACCTACACACACACACACACACACACATAGACGCACAAATACAGTGTGTTTGTAAATATGTCTATGAGTGTGCATTTAACTCATGCTTGGGTGCAAGGTATTTCAAGAGCATTACATCTACCTTTTAGTAGAAAGTGCACGAGCTACCTAAAAAACTTCAACACAGCAGCAAAAGCACAAAACGGGAAAATTAACACTGAAAAACGTAAAAAAAATAAAAACAGAAGTTACGACAATTGCAAGATCATAAGAACCAGTCAAGATATGCACTGAAAACCAGCAACTAAATCAAACAAAAGACTTCAACTATCTAGGGAGCATAATGTCATTGGAAAACATTGTGACGACTGGAAAGATCAGTGGAAAGAGAGATAGAGGCACACCAGGAGAGATAATGGTGGATGGGCTGAAAAGATGGCATGGAGGGATATCATTAACAGAGCTGTTCCAGGCAACCAGGGATCGTGATCTGTGGAGATGCATGAGCGCCTACACCAACTGGCAAGGCACATAATGATGATTAAAGTTGAAACAACAGGAATGAACTGTCTACGGCGACCCTAAATGTCACTTGAAGACACAGGATAAGAAATGACGATATCAGGAAAGAAGTTAGGATGGATCCAGTTTTAAACTGCATCAATAGACAACAGATCAAATAGTTTAGACACGTGCCAAGACTGCAGATCAGACAGTACACCACAGCCCTCCAACTTAGACGTAATAGAAGCAAACTAGAGGTCGACCATAACAGAGATGGATAGATGGAGTAGCCGAGGCTGTAAGTACGAGCAACTATACAGCACATACCAAGGCTCTCATCCGATGTCTCTTCAAAACCTGACGGTGCCAGGCAATGCAACACTGCTGAAGAAAAAGAAGAAACACATAAACATGTGGAAATCAAAGGACTAGCTTGTATATTTCATCACTCCTCACCTTTAACCTCTCTCACAGTAAACGTCGTTCTTTAACGTCCCAGGATAACTGCACAAGCGATTACAACACACCACCTGCCACTAAAGGAGAAAAATGTTATTTCCATACAACATGAGGTGTTTTACAAAAATAAGCTTCCTCATATTTAGCCTGAAAAATACATTTCTCTTAGGCGTAACTTTGCTTTTCAACACGTTAATCAGTTAATCAATGAAGTATGCGATTGGAGGATTGAAGAAGTGTTCAATGTTTATTGTATATAGATACAGACATGCTTTTGGAGGAGAGATCAAACGTAGAAGATATGACGAGACACGGTTGATCCTTCCTTTGAAACAGATGTATGAACTAAAATAACTTGTTATATTTCAAAGACGGAACTAGCCATGTTCAACGATAAGACCTGATTGAAACACCTGCGTGTACTTAATAACGTCACACAGGTGTTGCCCGGTGTTTTTCATATAACAATACGACGTCAGTTAACAACAAATCTTACTTCTTATGGCATCACTATCATCATTGCTTCTATAGGTTATCAGTGAGAGACAAGTGTATCAAATTCTTCTTGCACGTGATGCAATGAATACATCTTTTACATCCATTTTAAAGATTCATACACATACGGAGAGAGATAGATAGAGAGAAGGGAGGGAGGAAGTGAGAGGCAGACAGAAAAAGAGAAGTAGAGAGCGAGTCAGAGACAGCGATAGACGGGAATAGAGCGGCATAGACAGATAAAGAGTTAGTGGCAAAACTAAGGAGAGTCAGTGAGTGAGTCAGAAGGAAATAGAGAGAAAAAGGGATGGTTGTATAAAATGAGAAAGAAACATGGGGGAAAAAACACAGCAAAGTGATTGGCAAAGGAAATGACAAGGGCGAATAACTAGGAAGACGTGTGTACGACAAGCACGTTTATATCCCTTAACAAATAAAAATGGAAAAGATCATAATGATCAATTTCATGCAAAATGGTATCGTACATCCGAAATAGAGTAGATCCATCACAACCCCCCCCCCCCCCCCCCCCAAAAAAAAAAAAAACGTTAAAAAGTTGACTAATTAGAGGTGTTTCCTTAAAAGTCGAGCATATCTGCCCGAGAGGCAAAGAACCAACAGAATGCGTACAAATTAGCGAGATTTTTTAAACGAATGTACCCGCAAAATTCAAATTTTGGGACAAGATCAAAGTCTAGAAAAGGACGAACAACCAAAACTCTAGAGTCCGTGAATGCTAAGGAAACGAAAGATAACCCGGCTCTTAGGGATTATGTTGTCCACACTGAGATCCCTGAGTTTAAACCAACTTGTGAACACTGCTGTTTCATTTGATTACAGAACCACACAGTCTGGCAGCCTAATCTCTGTACGGTGTGTACTTGCAATGATCCAGTCGCTGTGTGCGAACCAGTTGTGTGCAAGGAACCCAAGTGTGGGTATAGTCAGGTGAGTTCACACGAATATTGTTTACACAATAACCATTCTATGCCATCTCCACAATAAAGGCTGGCTACAGTGTACGACTGCTGCCGTCTTTGGGAATATTACTTGGTGAGGTTCCACTCTCTCTCTAACGGTGCTACTCTCACACTACTGACCCAAAGCCACGAAAAGTTGTTCTTCTTTTAAAACCGTCCACCGCGGAAACCGAACACCAGTACTCGAGAATCATGACATTGTCAAACGCATTCACTAACCTTTAAGCCACAGAGCCACATTTATTTTAAACAACATTGTGAATTAATGAACGTTGTGATAATAGGCCAGTATACAATATACCATTTTGACCAAGCGGTCTGCTAACCATTCACACATGTGTCAGAGCTTTCACTGACCGCACGGACGTGTGGATTCTTCGGTAAATACCTTATTTAGTGATTTTGTGTATTCTTATTTGTAAATGTAGCACTGTCTATTTGCTGATGAAGACTTTTTAGCCGTTCATTTGTCGTTTGTGATTGTAAAACTGGCTAGTTATGCTTCAAGTTTGGTTTGATACCTTTTTACTCTAACCACACACAATCTACACACGTACACAAACTCTACAAATAAAGTAATTAAAATATCATTTACTTAATTAAAGTCCATGCCGTGTGGGTCGGCAGGCATGTCTATCCACAACCTTCTGTCTCGTGTATTTTCAAGTAACTCTGACACAGATGATCCTTCATTCTATGATGTCAAACTGTCCAGCATCTTTTCTGTCGGCCTCCCCCTGCCTGTTCTCTCCTTCAGTTTTCCTACTGTCACGATATACTCTAGTTTTAAAAGGTAAAATATCCCCCCGTAGACTTAATGTTTAGCTTCAAACTGCGACCAGCTGTGAGCATGTCTACAAGTGGCTTGATATGAGACTTTAGAAACTGATAAAGACTTCCAGGTCGACCTAGACTGAACCTGACACAAGGAAATGTCAGGGGAAGTAAAGCTGACTGCATGATAATTCAATAACTGAGTGCCCAATGTCTTATAAAAATGTCAGACTGGCACCATACCTCAAAGCGTGTAATTTGGTCAATCAGTTAATTTTTACTCATTTTATTTTATTGGAGTAGGGGGAGGAAGAGGGGATAAAAGGAAAAGACGGAGGAGGAAGAAGAAGAAGAAGAAGAAGAAGAAGAAGAAGAAGAAGAAGAAGAAGAAGAAGAAGAAGAAGAAGAAGGAGGAGGAGGAAGAAGAAGAAGAAGAAGAAGAAGAAGAAGAAGAAGAAGAAGAAGAAGAAGAAGAAGAAGAAGAAGAAGAAGAAGAAGAAGAAGAAGAAGAAGAAGAAGAAGAAGAAGAAGAAGAAGAAGAAGAAGAAGAAGAAGAAGAAGAAGAAACATTACATGGTGAGCCTGTACTTTAAATATCAATTGTGAAGCTATGCCAACTATTTCTAAACGTTCTTTAAAAACATCGCTAACTAGCAGCTGCAATATGTTGCAATGTAAAGATCCCACAAGTAAAGTTAAGATCCATTTTCCTGCCTTAGGTGCATCGGGCATATGAAAAGAGCATCCCATATGTTTTACCGACCAATCGGCCTAGGTGGGTAATGTGGTTAGCATTACGCCGGCCGTCTTTACTTCCCCAGGACTAAAGATGGCATGGGCGCAGTTTTTGTTTTTCCTGAAACACATTTGTGATCCTCTGAGCTGATTGAAATTCAATGCGTGAGCGATAAGTCACATATAAAAGAATAACAATATAACAAACCCAGAGACAACTTAAAGTAAACTTAACCAAAACAAAACGTTCACGTGCAAGAAAGACACATGTTAAATGATTTCACATCAAGATCCACAAGTGGTTTCATGAAAATAAATAATGATTGAATTCAGTTTACGTTAGTGCAGTTCAAGCAGTGATTACATCTCGCTCGCTAAATAAAGATTGAGTCCTCTGAGTGCTGTAGTGAAAGTTCTCAACATTTGATTCACTCAACTAAATTCAGCTCGAAACGACCTAGGTAGTAATTGTACAGACTGAAAAAAAATGGAACGAGGGGGGGGGGGGGGGGGGGGGGTGAAGGGGGGGGGGGGGGTGGGTGGAAAGGGGGGGGGGGGATACATGTGAGAAGGACTTGAGTACTGTGATCTTGGTTCCTAACTCAGCTCACTCCGCCCAACTCAACCCAAAGAGTAGTTATGTTTCCAAAACAACACAAAACAAACTTCTTCTGTTTGAATTTCTCTTTGTGAAAAAAAAAAAAAAAACGTTTGTTGACAGGTTGGTGAAGATTCTCTGTAAGACATTATCGTTAATGAAAATTCTTTGAAAGACTTTGTTACACTGAGGTTCGATTGTCTGGCATCCAGGTCGTGTAAGGTTTGAAAAGATCCGGCATTCACTGGATTAGTATTGGTGTAAAGCAGAGCTTTCCAAACTTCTCACGTTGGTGACACCCTTTTTTCGACCAGCAGAAGTCACAAAAACATTCAGCTTTAGAGTAAAGACAAATTTCGTCCCACATGTGAACGGAACTACTCTGTTTAATTCATTTTGGTTGTGCAGTTATATATCAAATAGGGCTCGTTCTCTCTTATGCTGTCACTTTAATCTCGTAGGTGGAATCTAGTACAGCATCTTTGACCTCTGTCATCAGCGAATTATGGTTTCTCTTGGACCTCCTGTTATCCTCAATTCATATATTTCCCATTCTTGTGCCTGTTTAATGAAATGAGTTCATTGAACATGTAAAAAAGGATAAACCCTATGTCGTTGTCTTGTCTCTAAAGGGAGACAAATTAGAACTGCTGCCGACTCAGTGCTGCCCTGTGTGCTCCCGTAGAAGAACCCCGTGTGACTTTGATGGACAGTTAGTGGCGGTAAGTATTTGACTGTCCTATATGTATCAAATAATGAAACACGAGGATGACCCAGAAAACACAAGTCTGATAAAATTGGATATATCGACCAAAAGGCTAAAACAGCACAGCTATCTTGTAAATTGGTACGTTGCAGTAACGTCCCTCTGACGACGACGACGAAGAAGAAGAAGAAGAAGTGACAGCAGGAGTAGGATGCGGAGTAGAAGAAGAAGACAATCCATATTTTTAAGAATGTTATGGGAAGGGGGGAAAACATAATATAATGAAAGGGAAAGAGTAAAAAAGTAAAAAGTAAAGATCCCTTATAACGCCTAAGGCGCATCGGGTATATGGGCAGAGCGTCCCATATTTTTACAGACCAATCGGCACTGGATGGGAAACGTGGTCAGCATTACGCCAGCCGTCTTTACTTCCCTAGGACAGCCATCCTGGTACCCATTTTAGGCTGGGTTGACATGCGACGCCTCATACTACGATAAAACTCCACGCAAGGGAAAGAGTGCTAGAGTGAAAACAATAGATGTTGGTTGGTTTGACACTTCCCGTATAGGTTCCAGGGCCTTGTCTTTGAAGAAGAGGAATACATCCCCGGACACCCCTGCCCCCGCAAGCTTGTCTTCAAAGTAGACTAATAATGCCGTATTTAAACTGACCCATCATATGTTATAATGTTCCAGGTCGGTGCCCAGAAGTAGCATAAATTAAATAAACTTATATCATTGGGACCGGAACATAGAGCCTCCTCTCAAGAAGCGAGGGTGACGGGGGTACCTCCTTCCCAATTTGTAAGAGGGCTACCCTATCCCCTCAACCATTACCAAGGTTCTCTTTTTAAATCTTTGTTTATGCATATCATATTATTCCAAGTAATAATGATTTGCCATTCGGAACATAATTATTTTATATTATTATTATTATTATTATTATTATTATTATTATTATTATTATTATTATTATTATTATTAATTGCTTAAACTTGGCTTAGGTCACTTGGGCTCCTCCCCCAAGAAAATGTGTAAAGTTTCTGAACCAACACCCCCATCCCCCCCCCCCCCCCAAACCCATAATGTTTTCTTTGCGTCGGCACCTCCGACTGATATGGTTATAAGAAATGGATTTCCCTTGGCAAAAGACACTTATATTTGATCTGTGTCTTAAGTACAAACCGCTGAAGGGAAAATTTCCTAGTAAAATAAAAGTTCTGCAGCTGGTATCCATGGAAACAAAAAGGCAGACGATCTTGCAAAGACTGCTGGGAACCTAGAGTAGGCCCCCACTCACCTCATACCTTTAAAGAGACAAACACACTCTTCAAGCAATCATTGAAGACAAAACTGGAGAGAAAAGAGAAACAATTACAGACCAGAGTACCATAGTATAGTTAGGTTTGGCCTAAATGCTCAGACTAAAATTGTCAGACTCAGAACAGGACACGTTAAACTCAGAGAACATCTACAGTGAATGGCTCTTGCTAACTCTGCTGCATGTTGTTGTGACTAACCAAAGCAAACTGCAGAGCATGTCTTACAGGACTGCCCAGACTTCGCCAGTCAGAGAGAAGAAATCTGGGCGCTTTATTAATAACCTACATCAAACAGGGAAAATCCACAGGTCACGGCACAGTCTAATATTTCAGGGGGTGGTAGATAGGCTGCATGCAGTCGTGGGACCTAGGCTGCATGCAGTCGTGGGACCTGAGCTGCGCTCTCTCGTGGGACGTAGGTGGGTTAGGGTTAGGTCCAGTTCTAGATGTTTTGGAGTCGTTAAAAGCATCAGAAAGCTGGGAAACCCAGTCTTACCAACCTCTAAAATTGTGGACCTTTCGTGACGCTATCTGGGGTATGATATTATTAAAGAACCGAAATCTGGCCCTATAAGATAAACTATGGGGCACCGATGAAGATATAAAGCGCACCGTCCTGTTCATGGCCCAATTTGGAATAGATTCATAGTAAACATTAGTCGACGAAGAAAAAAATGTTCAACAGCCTTGTGTAAAGAATACGCAAATAACTTTTTATGTTAATCAAGGTTCACTGAGAAAGGATTGCTAATTGTATGAAATAAATTCTTGTGTTTGTATACAAAATGTATGACCGCTGAATCCACAGCACGGCACTGAGTGGAACCCGTCAAGCTG